TAATGAATATAGATGCAAAAATTCTCAACAAAATCCTAGCCAATAGTTTATACCTTATCATCAAAAAAGTCATACATCATGATCAAGTAGCTTTCATCCCAGGAATGCAAGGATTAATACATGCAAGTCTATTAACATTATTCACCTTATCAGCAGAAGCAAAAACAAAGGCCATATGATTCTCTCAATAAATGCAGAAAAAGCATTCCATAAAATCCAGCATCCTTTTCTAATTAGAACACTGAAGAGTATTGGCATAGATGGCACATTTCTTAAACAGATCAAAGCTATCTATGACAAACCCACAGCTAATATTTTACTAAATGGAGTAAAACAGAAAGCTTTTCCTTTTAGAACTGGAACCAGACTAGGTTGTCCCCTATCACCACTACTGTTCAACACAGTACTGGAAGTTCTAGCCAATATAATCAGGCAAGAGAAGGAAATAAAGGGAGCAGAGGAGGTCAAACTCTCCCTCTTTGCTGACAATATGATCTTATACTTAAAGAACCCCAAAGACTCAACCAGAAGACTCCTGGAAGTCATCAAAAAATACAGTAATGTCTCAAGATATAAAATCAATGTTCACAAGTCAGTAGCCTTTGTATATGCCAATAACAGCCAAGATGAGAGGCTAATTAAGGACACAATTCCCTTCAGCTTAGCTTCAAATATCTAAGAATATACTTAAGAAAAGAGGTGAAGGACCTCTATAAAGAAAATTATGAAACCCTAAGAAAAGATTTAGCGGAGGATATAACAAATGGAAGAACATACCATGCTCATGGTTGGGAAGAACCAAAGCAATCTACAGATTCAATGCCATCCCTATTAAAATACCAACATTATACTTTCAAGATTTAGAAAAAATAATTGTTTTGTATGGAACCAGACAAAACCCTGTATAGCTAAGGCAGTTCTTAGTGATAAAAACAAAGCCGGGGGCATCAGCATTCCAGATTTTAGGCTATACGATAAGACCATAGTGGTCAAAACAGCATGATACTGGCACAAAAATAGAGACATAGACATTTGGAATTGAGTAGAAAACCAGGAAATGAAACTAACATCTTACAGCCACCTAATCTTCGATAAATCAAACAAGAAAATACACTGGGGGAAAGAATCCCTATTAAATAAATGGTGCTAGGAGAACTGGATATCCACATGTAGAAAACTCAAACTGGACCCACACCTTTTCCCCTTACAAAAATTGATTCAAGATAGATAAAAGACCTAAAATTAAGGCATGAAAAGATTAAAAATCCTCAAAGAAAGCATAGGAAAAACACTGGAAGATATCGGTCTGGGGAAAGCCTTTATGAAGACTTCAATAGCAACTGCAACAACAACAAAAAAAAACAAATGGGACTTAATTAAACTGAAAAGCTTCTGTACAGCTAAGGAGACAACAACCAAAGCAAATAGACAACCTACACAATGGGAAAGGATATTTGCATATTTTGAATCAGACAAAAGCTTTATAACTAGGATCTATAGAGAACTCAAATTAATCCACATGAAAAAAAGCCAACAATCCTATATGTCAATAGGCAGGAGAGATAAATAGAACCTTCTCTAAAGAAGACAGATAAATGGCTAGCAAACATATGAAAAAATTCTCATCATCCCTAATTATTAAAGAAATGCAAATCAAAACCACCCTGAGATATCATCTAACCCCAGCAAGAATGGCCCACATCACAAAATCTCAAAACTACAGATGTTGGCATGGATATGGAGAGAAAGGAACACTTTTACACTGCTGGTGGGACTGCAAACTAATATAACCTTTGTGGAAGGAAGTATGGAGAACCCTCAAAGAACTCAAGCTAGACCTCCCATTTGATCCTGCAATTCCATTACTAGGCATCTACCCAGAAGGAAAAAAATCCTTTTATCATAAGGACACTTGCACTAGACTATTTATCACAGCTCAATTTATAATTGCCAAAATGTGGAAACAGCCTAAATGCCCTCCATCCCAGGAATGGATTAACAAGCTACGGTATATGTACACCATGAAATACTATTCAGCCATTAAAAAAAATGGAGACTTTACAGCCTTTGTATTAACCTGGATGGAAGTGGAACACATTGTTCTTAGTAAAGCATCACAAGAATGGAGAAGCATAAATCCTATGTACTCAATTTTGATATGAGGACAATTAATGACCTAGTACATGGTGGGGGGTTGTGGGAAAGGGAGAGCAGAGACAGAGAAAGAAGAAGGGAGGGGGTGGGGGAAAGAAAGAGCAGAGAGAGGGAAGGAGAGAAGGGGGTAGGGGTCTTGGTGTGTGACACACCATTTGGGGGCAAGACACAATTATAAGCAGGACTTTACCTAACAAATGCAATTAGTATAACCTGGTTTCTTGTACCCTCAATGAATCCCTAACAATAAAAAAAAAGTAAAAAAAAAAAAATTGCTAAACAAGATAAATGTAGACCTGCTGTAGTGAAAACTACCAACTGTCCAGAATCATCTTTCTCAAAGATTGTAGATAATGTTGAAGTCTTTACTTTATTCAGGCATAATAAATAGAAACTTTTTCAACTATCTCCAAGATGTTGGCACAGATCTTGAAGTTAAACACTTAATGGAGTTATTAACTTATATTTGGAGATCAGATAAGCACATCTTTTATGGGTAGGCACTTCCAAGTGCTTGGTTTTTTTCCTTATAAAGAAACAATGTGTTTGCTTCTGTTTGAATCACAATTAAAAGGAGTCAGAGCATATGTTGAGAACCATCTGGAATATTCATCTAGAACCAAATCTTTCCAAAGCCTTATTTTATGGAAACAGTAAAGGTATAATGGTTAGAAAAAGAATGGCTCCGAGCTACCAGACAGACACGAACTAAAACAAGCTTTGTCATTTACCACCTGTGTGGACATGGGCGAGTGGCCAGACCTCTCTAAGCACCGAGATTGCTGACTGGTCAAGCGGAGATGACAATGATAGAACCTATCTTATGTGGCAGTATGAGGAGTTAATGGGACAAAGGATGTACTGTACTTTATGCAAAATAATTGCTCAGAAAAGGGTAGTTGTCATGTTATTAAGTGTACATGTAAATTTTATATAGTAGAGTACTACTGTTTTCCTTTGTAAAAGAAAATAAAAACATGGGATACAACCTTTTACCCTGACATTCCAAAATTCTCAACCCACAAGATTACCATCAAACTAACCCTCAGAGTTTTTTTTTTCTGTTTCTCATCATGTTGATTTTTTCATTCAAACAAAAAAACACACATACCTTTGTTGTTGTAATTTTTTTACAATTCTCTAATGAATACTACTATAAATATACTAAAATAAATACTAGTTGTTTTTGGAGACAGGATTGCTCATTTTTTTTTATTTTCTGGAGAAATAAAGTCTTGCTTTCTTGCCCAGGTTGGTGTTGAACTCCTGGACTCAAGTGATTCTCTAGCTTCAGCCTCCCAAAGTGCTAGCATTAAAGGCATGAGCCACCTCACACAACCAATATTACTACTTTTAACTTAGCACTTTTCCATTTCCTTACTTACCTATCCTTCTTTATAAAGAGTATTTCTTCAACTTTTTAACTTAACAACCATGAACAAAGGTATAAAACTACACAGCAGAAAGCCAATTAGCACATGATCACAACTTCCAATTACATATTTGGGATGATCCCTCAGAGAATTTTATCTTCTACATCTCTTTATTTAATTACCTAGGTCATGATTCAAAAAATAAATAAGAAGAAGAATATTTAGAGAATTATTTTCAACATCATTTGATAAAGTTATTAAGGTAAATTAAGGTTTTTTTCTTCTATGGCTATTTCAGACATAGCATCAAGTTACCTAAAAGCTGTAGGTAACCACCCTTAAAGAAAGTACCTCTCTAACCTTAATCAGCAAGGAAGAGGGAAGAGGACAATCAGAAACATATGGGGACAAGCTTTTTAAGAATCTAATCTATGCCCTGACCCCACGATAACAATAGAGGGAAAGAAAACAAAGGAAGAAAGGATTGTTTCTCTATGTGTAAATATACAGCATTGAAGGGGTTTGGGGTCACCCAATGAGGGGGTCTTGGTGAGAGGCATGAAGAGGCTTGACAGAAAGTTTGTGTCAAGGATGGAGGAACTCTGGGAGGAGCCTTCCTGGTCTGTATTTATTATCACAAAGCAGGAAAATGTAGTTAAAAGTTACTTATCAGACATCAGCACTAAAAAGGGGGAACATGGAAAGTGTCAGACAGAAAGTCTCCAATTTGTTTTTGCAAAATCTCAGACCTTAAGTAAGACCTCTGCCTCTAGCCTCCAGAGTCCTTTGGAATCTAGATAATCTTTACCATACCCATTAGGCCTGGTATTGCCACACCTCACATAGACATTCTCCTTTAGAGGCCAGTTTTCTTATCTCCTACACATACACAACTCACATGCCATTCTCATGATTCTTCACGTCTCTCAAACAGGAAGTGAGTCTTACGGTAATGACCAGGGCTTAGTTTCCCCTACAGAGTCTGATGCCAAAGTGCATAGGTAAGAAGAAAGAGAAAGACAAGGAAAGGTTCGCAATTTTTTATTTTTTTTAACTAAGTGACTTCTGAAAGAGAAAGTAAAACCTCAATTTAAAAAGATGTCAGGAAGGGCCAATACATTTGCCTTTGCCAAATTAATACCTTTATTCTTAAGTTAACACTAAACGCAATGAGAAATTAAATGAATTTTCATTCAAGGGTTCCAATTACACGAGAGAAAGAGAAAGCAAAGTTGGGCAGAAGAGTCAAACAGAAAAGTTAAATTGGACAAGTCTAAAAAACTGTCTACAAGCAGGGGAAACCTATTCTATTGGCTTTTATACTTGTAGAAACAAACAAACAAAAAACCCGGGGGGGGGGGGTAACCGAATCTATTGTATATGAAATGAGAATGATTCACACACATTGCTATTTAGGATGAAGAGAGCAGATGCATTTTACACATGAAATATTTTAAAAAGCAATGAACTTACTTGCTTTTCCCTTTGTATACTGTAGCATAAGATCCTTCCCCCAGCTTTTCCAGTTTTTCATATGAGTCAGCTTTTCCAAATTTCGGACTTGTTGGCTAAAAGTGGAGCAGAGGGTAAACAAAACATATTCTATCAAATTAATTAACAATAAATATCCTGATTTTGCTGAGAATGTACAGATTCTTTGTAACCTTTTAAACAATTTTTTCTGATATGTTTATTTTTAAAAACAACATGATACACAGGGTACAAAACTCAGGAAAATACAAATAAACACAATGTAGAAATAAATCTACCCATGATCTAACTAGAAAACCACTCTTAGGATTTTGACATCTCTTTCTTCCAGTGCTACCTATAGGCTGATAATTGCTTTTCTGCATAAATGGGATTATACAATACACCCTGTTTTGTAACCTACTTTTTTTTACTTGCTTAATATATTATGAACACTTCCATGATGTTATATAATCTTCTAAATTAAGAGCTGATAAATCGTGACCTAAGGGTTAAGTCCAGCGCACTACCTGGTTTTTGTAAATCTAGAGAGCTTGGAATGGTTCTTCCTTTCTTTAATGGTGGGGGGGTGGGGGGGGGAATCTAAAGAAGAATAAAATTTTATAATATGTGAAAATTACATAAAAATCAAATTTTAGTGTCCATAAAGTTTTACTGGAAAACAGTCATGCTCTCATTTGCATACCATCTTATGGCTTTCCAGCCACAAGTTACACTGGCAATACGATATACTCGATACATCTTTTGGAATCCTCAATATTTTTGTTATATATTGACTCAATATATATACTGAGTTTTCCATTTCTGGTTCTGATTTATTATTTTTGTAAAATACATTTTCAGTCACTGTGGTATTTTGGATGGAATGAAGGTAATATAGCCGATATAGCTGAAAAAGCTGAAAATAGTTACCATCTACTACTGTTTTAAATCATAATTATATAATATTCAATCATATAAAGGTATTTCTCCAATACCTTTTATTGATGCTACAAATAAATAATGACAGATGTATCATTCAGATATTAATAATTAATACAAATAAAATGGAACTCTTAGGTATATATAAAACAATCCTTAAGGTTTAGCTGCCAATTCTTCCTTAGGACATGGATTTGATCAAGGTAAAAAGCTTTTTCACAGCTAAGAGTACCACAAACAAAGCAAACAGTCCTCAGAATGGGAGAAGAGTTTTGCATGTTATAAATCTGACAAAGGCCTGATAACTAGAATCTACAGAAAAATCAAATTAAACAATAAGAAAAGAGCAAATAATCCCCTCTCTAAGTAGGCAAGAGACTTAACAGAAACTTCTCCAAAGATGACAAATGGCCAATAAACATATGAAAAAAAGCTTATTTTTAATCATCAGAGAAATGCAAATCAAAACCACTCAAAGATATCACCTAACTCCAGTAAGATTAGCCCATATCACAAAGTTCCAAAACCACAGATGCTGGCATGGATGTGAAGAGAAGGGAACACTTTTACACTGCTGGTGGGATTGCAAACTAATATAGCCTTTTTGGAAAGAAATATGGAGAATCCTTAAAGAGCTAAAAGTAGACCTTACATTTGATCCTGCAGTTTCATTAGTAGGTATCTACCCCAAACAACTAAAATCATTTTACCACAAAGGCATTCCACCAGAATGTTTACTGCAGCTCAATTTATAATGGCCAAGTCATGGAAGTAACCCAAATGCTCATCAACCCATAAATGGATCAACAAACTGTGGTATATGTATACCATGGAATACTATTCAGCCATCAGAAAAAATGGACACTTACATCTTTTACATTTACCTGAATGGAGCTGAAACACATTCTTCTGGTAAAGTATCACAGGAATGGAAAAATAAATATCCAATGTACCCAATACTAATGTGAAACCAATATATAAGCAATTACATGCTGGTATGAACAATAAAATACAAATACACTCTAGTACAAGGGCAGGGGGAGTTGTGAGGGGTAAGGGGGGAGAAGGGAGGATAACTGGCAGAAGGAGGGAGGGTATGTGAACATTGTGAGGGTATAACATGTATATAACATCACTCAGGGGGCTCTTTTACAACTGGAAGTATACCCTGGACATTAGAACAATGTAATCTCAAAATGTGTACCTTCATAATAATTTGAAATAAATTTAAAGGTAAATAAAGTCAGTGTGAACAATTCGGACAAAGTAAGTCAAACTCTCACTCTTTTCTGATGATATAATCTTATACTTAGAAAAACCCAGAAACTCAACTATAAGACTCCTGGAAGTGATTAAGAAATATAGCAATGTCTCAGGGTATAAAATCAGTATCCACAAATCAGTAGCCTTTGTGTACACCAATAACAATTAAGTTGAAAAGCAAATCAAGGACACAATACCCTTCACGCTAGCTTCAAAGAAAATCAAATACTTAGGAATATACCTAACAAAGAAGGTGAAGGACCTCTACAAAGAGAATTATGAAACCCTAAGAAAAAAAATAGCAGAAGATATTAACAAAAGGAAGAATATACCATGCTCATAGCTGGGAAGAATCAACATTATTAAAATGTCTATATTACCCAAAGCAATCTTCAGAGTCAATACAATCCCCATTAAAATACCAACATCATACTTTCAAGAACTGGAAAAAACAGTTTTACATTTCATATGGAACCAGAAAAAACCCTATATAGCCAAGCCAATTCTTAGTAATAAACCAAGCCAGAGGCATCACTCTACTAGACTTCAAGTTATATACAAGTCCACAGTGATCAAAATAGCATGGTATTGGCACAAAAAAAAATAGAGACATAAACATGGAACAGAATTCAAAACCAAGAGATGAAAACAATCTCTTATCATTGATAAATAAAAACAAAAGCATACACTGGGGAAAAGAAGTCCTATTCAACAAATGGTACTAGGAGAACTGGCTAACCACATGTAAAAGACTGAAACTGGAGCTGCACCTTTCACCATTTGCAAAAGTCAATTCAAATGGATAAAAGATTTAAATTTAAGACATGAAACAATAAAAATCCTGGAAGAAAGCATGGGGAAAACTCTTACTAATGTTTGCCTGGGGAAAGATTTTATGAAGAAGACTTCATTGGCAATCACAACAACAATGAAAAGTAACAAACGGGACTTAAGCTGAAAAGCTTATGCACAGTTAAGGACACAATAATTAAAGCAATAGTCAACCTTCTGGGAAAAAATACTAACATGTTAGAAATCTGACAAAGGGTTGATAATTAGAATCTATGGAGAACTCAAATTAATCAAGAAAAAAAGAACAAACAATCCCATATACCACCCACTGGTCAAGAGATATTAACAAAACCTCTCTGAAGAAGACAGACAAACGGCTAACAAACACATGAAAAAATGCTCATTATCTGGGCAGTGCCTATGGCTCAAGGAGTAGGGTACCAGCCCCATATGCCAGAGGTGGTGGGTTCAAACCCAGCCCTGGCCAAAAAAAAAAGAAAATGCTCATTATCCCTAGTCATTAGAGAAATGCATATCAAAACCACCTTGAGATATCACCTAAGCCCAGTGAGAACAGCCCATATCATAAAGTTCCAAGGCTACAGATGCTGATGCAGATGTGGAGAGTGGGGAATACTTACACACTGCTGGTGGAACTGTAAACTAATACAGACTCTTTGGAAAGAAGTACAGAGAATCCTCAAAGATCTCAAAATAGACTCTCCATTTCATCCGAAATCCCACTACTAGGCATCTACCATGTAGGGAAAAAAAAAAAACTGCCTACAACAAATTTTATATCCTGGCAGAATAGTTTCATAAATGAAGGAAAAATAATGTGTTTCCTAGACAGTCAAATTCTGGGGGTATTCATCACCCTGAGACTGGCCCTACACAAAATACTCAAAAGAGTTCTATACTTGGAAACAAAAGGCAAATATTCACCACCATAAAAGCACATAAAAGTATAAAATTTACAGGTCTGATAAAACAATTACATGAGGGAAGAAGAGGAAAAACCAAAACGTAATACAACATAACTCTGCCAATCCACAAAGACAAACAGATTTAAAAAAAAAAAAAAACTACACAGTAACTATTAATAGATAATAATTAACAATGACAGAAACAAACCTCACAAATTAATATTAACTTTGAACATAAAAGGATAAAATGATGAACTTAAAAGATATGGGTCAACAGCACAGATTAAAAAAAAATAAATCAACCATATGCTTCTCACAAGAAACTCACACTAATAATAAGGACACTTACATACTGAAGGTAAAAGAGAGAAACTAATGATATTCCACACAAATGGGCATGAAAAGCAAGCAAGAGTCACTATACTTAATAACAGATAAAACAGACTAATTCAAAACCCATTAAAAAGAAGACAAAGAAAGTCATTCTATAATGATCCAGGGTTCAAACCAACATGAGGATATAATCCTCCTAAATATATATGCAGCTAACACTGTAGCTCCCAGTTTTATAAAACAAATATTAATAGGCCTAAACAAGAAATAGACAGTAATACAATAGTAGTGGGAGACTGCAACTCCCCACTCACAGTTCTTTAAGACAGAATATTAAGAAAAAGAAAACTACAGTTCAGACAGTTCTTTAAGACAGAAAGTTAAGAAAAAGAAACACTACAGTTAAACTGGACATTAGACCAAATGGACATAATAGGAATATTCTGCCCAGTTCCACAACTGTAGAGCACACATTCTTCTCATCAGCACATGGAGTATTCTCTAAGATAAACCATATGGTAGGCAACAAAGCAAGTCTCAATCAATTTTCAAAAATCAAAATCATATCAAGTACCTTTTGAGCCTGCAGTAGAATAAAACTAGAAATCAATATCAAGACAAATTCCTGAAACTATTCAAACATAGAGAAATTAAACAACATGCTTCCAAAGGATCTTTTGATCAATGACAAAATTAAGATAGAAATTTTTAAAAATTTTAAAATACTCTCACTCTGAGAGGCCTAGGCAGGTGGATTGCTTGAGTTCACAGGCTTAACACCAGCCTGAGCCAGAGTGAGACCTTGTTTTTACAAATAGATGGGCAATGTGGCAGGAACCTGT